TTCTGCTTGGAAGTTCCCTGTAGTGCTCTGGACTTGCTGCGTCCCCGATACCTATCCACTACATTCCATTTGAGAAATAGCTACTGGTCTGCTACTGGGCACTAGGGGAGACTGAACATCGTACACCGTACCTCCAGGTAACACTGCACCTAGTTAGTCCATTTTAGGTTGCGTATACTCAATGCTAAGAGAGTTGGAAAAACACAACAGTCTTTTCTTATTTAATGAAAATGGTAAATTCAAGAGAGAAGTTAGCTTAGTTCCATAGGTGTGTCCTCCTCGCATGAGGAGATTTTGGCCACATCTTTAGGGGTCATTGTAGCTCTCTCTCCTAGAAAGAAACCCTGCCATTTGAGACAACATGGATAAAACTTTGAAGACAATGTGCTAAGTAAAATAAGGCATAGAAAGACAAATGGTGTATGATCTCACTTATATGTGGAATCTAAAAAAGCCAAACTCATGGAAACAAAAAGTAGATTGGTGGTTGCCAGATGCCACGGGTGGGGGAAATGGAGAGATGTTGGTCAAATGGTACAAACTTCCACCAATAAGATGAAAAAGTTTCTAGGGATCTAATATACAACATGGTGACAATAGCTAACATGTACTATATACTTGAAGTTGCTGAGAGAGTAGATTTTAAATGTTCTCACCACAAAATTTTTAAAAAGGTAACTATGTGAGATGAAAAAAAAGATACTGAATTTTAGCATAGCTAGAAAGTTTTAAGATTATAAATTTCTATAAATTTTTTTAAAACATTATTTATATGCCTGAAACTAAAATCGATAACTTCTCTTTTATGAGTAGTTACAATTGAAGTTTCCTTATAGTTTTCTTTTTTTAATGCTAGTTTTAATGAAACACTCAATAAAATATAAAAATGTTTTAAAAATTTGAAAGATTGAGCAGATATAGATTAAAAGCTGTTCATTAGGAAAGAAAAAATATCTGGGCCATTAGTTGATTACCCATTCTCAATCTTAAAACTTTTTATTATGCTTATTCTCACGCACACAGAAGAGAAAGAACAGTATAATGAACTTCATGTATCCATCATGTTTTAACAATTGTCAACATTCTGCCAATCTTATTTAATCTACTTCCCACAACTTTTTTTCTGAAGTATTTAAAAATAAATCCTAAACACCTCATTTCACATGTAAATATATGTAAGTCGATCTCAATCCAAAACAAATTAATGCAATATAAAAAGAACTACAGTGCATAGATTGAGGAATGTACCTGTTCCATTCATTCATTAAAGCCGGATAGCTAAGCACTATACTAGGTGCTGGGGATATCAGAGAGAGCCACATGAGGGCAGCAGAAGACAGTAAGTTCATAAATTTTTGGGTGGAAAAACAAATACAAGAATCATTGCTCTTGAGTGATGATGAAGACAGTTAATATTTATAGATCACTTACTGTTTTAAGCCCTTTGTAAATACTAACTCATTTATTCTTCACAATCACCCTCCGAGGTAAATACTATTATTACAGATGAAGAAGCTGAGTTCCGGAGATGTGAAGTAACTTGCTGGAGAGCATTCAGATTGTAAGTGGTTGAGCTAGGATTTTAATCTAAGTAGTCTGATTTTAGAGGCTGTGCTCTTAAGAAAAAAAAAAAAGAGAGATTACTTTAATATCGTGGTAAAAACAATGTTATTTGTTCACCAAACCATTTCATTGTCTTCCTAGGCACACAGGAAGACTGTATTTCTTGGCTTCCTAGCCTTTAAATGGGCCATGTGACTAATCCCGGCTAATGGTATGTGGGTGGGCATAAAAAACAAACTCCCTGGTTAGAGTGATGGCTTCGCAAAATGGAAGGAGCCTGGATCTTTGGGAGGGTCCTGGATCTCTGGGTTACTACTTAGTGGGGAACCTCTCCATTAGGAACATCTTTACTGAACTTTGAGAACACGAGAAATAAACTCTTACTGTGTTAAGTCACTGAGATTTTGGGATTTGTTACGGTAGCTAGTGTAAACCATACCAGAGAACCATTTTAATTTAAACTTTTAAAAATTATGAAATATTTCAAAAATATTGAAAAGTATAGAATATATTAACAATCAAATCTCTATCCCCAGATTTAGCAGATATTAATATTGCCACCTTTCTTTCTTGTTTTTCTTCAAGAAACCCATTAGATATAACTCATAGCTAATAACCAATAAAGCATCACCTCATCCCTTACCCCTTCCTAGAATTAACTACTATCCTAAAGGTGGTGTCTATCATCCTCATTTACATTTTTCACTGACTGTTATTTTGTGTGCTTTCAAAATGGAAAGAAATGGTATCTAAAATTGCTTTTTTCATTCAATATGTACCCATGTTGGTACATGTAAGTCTAATTCATTCATTTGAATAGTTACATAGAAATATAGTAATTTATTTATCCATTCTCTTACTAAGAGACAGTTAAGATTGTTTTTTTTTTCTTTGCTTCCACAAACAATGCTGCAATGAATCTCCTTGCACATGCCTAATATCATATATTCCAGGGAGGCCTGAGGGTTTTCTCAAACTGATACTAAGAAAATGAAAAGCCAGCTATGTGAAGAGCCAGAAAACAAGTGCTTCAGGTATCTGGAGCAGTGGACAAGCCCTAATACCTTAGGTAATGGCATGTTTTAGACCCAGTGAGGTTACAGTAAAAGAAAGTGTCGAGAGGTTGAGGTAGAGGAGCAGGCAAGGGCCACTCTGTTAATGGCTTTAGAGGCCACAGTAAGAAGTTGGGGTTGTCTTTTATGTGCAAAGCCATTAAAGTGTGCTCATTTTTTTCTAGGTTGGTCAGACCACACTCACAGTATTGTATGTTCCTTCCCTCAACTTCACTGTGAATGGAGCACTGTTGAATAAATGAATAAATGCAGTTACTGCTTTTGCTCTCTTTGTTTTGAAGGAAATGATTGCAATCTTATAAGAAGAAAGAAAATATTACTTTCCAATCCCTTTCCTGCTCTTTTGTATCTGAGGGGAAGCTGAATGTTCCAAAAGAAACTAATCTATCACAATTTCATTTTCCCATCAAAAGGACTTAAAAGGAAAATTTCTCTTTTTCCTCCAAATTTTGCAATTAATTTGTTCCTTTTATTAAAATCAGATCGACTTCATGAAAGATCTAAATTGTTTAGGTCAACTTAAGAACTGAGGAAATATGGTGCTAGTTCTGAAACTATCTGAGGTGTGATGCAGTTTCATGATGACTAAATAGATGAATTGAAAAATATGAATGCAAGAATTGTGTACCTATACTATAATGCCAAACGTTGTACTATAGGCTTTAAAATTATAAATTACCCATGCTAACATTTTCTCTCCTTCTCCACCCACTTCTTCTACTAACACTTCCTATGTTTGCCTAGTGGCTATACAATCAGCTTGGAAGGTGGGCTATCATCTCTTTCAGGAGCTTTCATTTATGTTACCTGCCTGATCGCCAATAATCAAGCATATCAAATCTATTCCTGTATTTCACTCTATTTTCCTTTAGAATATCCTTTTTAATAACTAGTAGTTTTCAATTTTTAAAGATATCAATTCAAATTCACAGAAATTTCAATAAAATCTAATCTGATGGATGTGGGTGACATTTTCTCTTTTCTAAAACAATCCCCATTCACTCGTTAATTTTTTTCTTTTATTTGCCAAGTGCCTGTACTCCCTTTAGGTAGAACCTTACTGCCAAATAGAATGACTATCCAAAGGCTTGGCGTATAGCTCTGTTTAATATGTTCAGTAAGGCAGAGTTAAAAATCTTGTCACTATCACACAGAATCAGAATCTGAGTGTTAGAAAAGCCTTAAAGACCATCGATCACCTATCTTTTGTGTGTTTGTGACCACCAATTTTTTTTTAACTGAAGCCAATAGTTTTCAAAGGAGGGGAAAAAACGTCAATAAAACAAATAAAAAAAACTGCAAAAGAAATGGTAATTACAATTAATTTGTAAAAAATATGTTTCATGAGGTAGCTTGCATAGGGATGAATGGTAGTCTCTGGCCTCCAGCAACTGCATCTGTAGAGGGTATAAGTAATCCTGATACCTTTTGGTAAGTACCATGGTGACATCATGTGTAAATGTACATTAGGACCACAAAGGAGAGAGCAAACGATTTCACTCCAGCGATTACACCTTCAGAAAACAGGTGAATGGCTTCAAGAATGACTAAGAATTACACAAATGGACAAGAACGAGAGTATTTTAACCTTAGGGGACAGCAAGAGCGTCTTATACCTAAGAGTTACAGATAGGAATCTGCAAAAAGATATTTGAAAAGGGTCGTACCAATCAATGGACGCTTTGTAACAGTGCATTTCCACCTTAGCTGCACATTAGAATCACCTAGGAAGCTTTTAAAAATCCCGAAGCCCAGACCGCACATTAGTTCAACTGAAGTCGAATCTGTAGGGCTGGCATAATATTCACAGGCTAGTATTTTTTTATAGACCCCCGCCCCTACTTCGTGATTCCAAAGTGCAGATGAAGGCGAGATCACCGTTTTAAAGCAGGAAGCAAGATATTAAACATGGATTTTGACGGGGGAAATTGGCGGTAGGGCATAGAAGATGCACTGAAAGTCCTTGTACGGCAGGGCGGCTACTGCAAAAGCAGGGACTAGGACCGAGCGGGAGAGGATTTAAAGGCGGTTTCTGTGGTACAACTGCCGGGATTTGGGGATCGGTAATGAGATCAGCATCCATCCAACTTCATTAAAGTGAAGTTATTCTGTCAGCGACCCTGCTCCTACCTCCAATCATATTTTCTCACATCTTTTCCCACAGTTAAAAAAAAAAAAATGACAGGAACGTTTTCTATCCCACGAAAGGCGCATGAGCAGACCGTGGGCGGTGCAAAGACCTGAGAAGCCACAAGCGCGCAGCAGCTGCAATTTCTTCGCGATTCCACAACCACAACTCACAAACATTTAGGCGGGGGGCTCCCGGGCCAGGTTCATACCCCACCACGAAGTGCAGATAGTTACCTAAAGGCAAATGGGATCCTTTTAAACCCTGAAGGCGGCGAGGGCAAGGGCGGGGCAACCACTGACGTTCGCGGTGACGACACCAGCTCCGCCCACACACCCGCTTCCGGCGGCGCGCGGCCCCCGCTTCC